AATCACACCTTCAAAAATTCATAGCCATACTTTCTTATTTTCATCGGTTTTTGCTGAAAATTCCACTGACACGTTTCTCTAATTGTTCTGCTTCTATTTAAAACCAACTAAGTATTAGGGTGGCCTTCCCCTTTAATATCAGAGGACATTTTTTATATAGTGTTAACCAGTAGCGTACGCAGGATTTTTTCAAGGGGGTGTTTTAACATTAGAAAATCGCCCCGAAAAAGAGGGGGGGGGGGTGGTAAGAGCACATTTGGTCCAGTTTTAGAGGGAAACGACTCAGCCAGCAGCTGAATAAGCGGGGGGGGGGGGGGGGGGGGGGGGGAGTAAGAGCACTTTTTTGGCCCCGAAAATTGGAAAATTACGCCGTCAGATATTTTGTTGAGTGGCTGGGGGGGGGGGGGGTCACTTTTTGGGGGCCTCCTTGGTGTATACCTTGGGATTGATCGTAAGACACCGTGGAAAAGGGCTGATCTTTGCACTTTCATTACCGGACATGGATTAGTCAAGTATCACGTGATTATTATTACCGACGAATACATTTTATTACTCTCATTACGAACCATTAAGAACTACCTCGAAGCCTTCGATAATAATTTTGTAAGGTATAGGGGGAAATTATCTACGAGTCTTGACAATTGATTCGTGATGGAAGTACCGGAGGGAGAGCGAGAGAGAGAGAGAGAGAGAGAGAAGGAGAGAGAGAAAGAGAGAAAGAGAGAGGGAGAGGGAGAGGAGAGAGAGAGGGAGAGGGAGAGAGAGAGAGAGAGAGAGAGAGAGAAAGAGAGAGGGAGAGGGAGAGGGAGAGAGAGAGAGAGAGAGAGAGAGACCGAGATGGGAGGAGGGGGGGGGGGGGGGGTACTCAAGAAATATTGAACATATTTTTGTTCAAGCGCTCGATCACCTTTCCTGATCAATTTCCAAGTAATTAGTCGCACACTGTTAACAGAGGGAGGCGGTAACCATACACGGTCAACTTCATCAGTCAGTTTGTTCATCAAGGTCAATATTTTCTCAACTTTTAAAACGGCACTATCAGGGCATTATGATGCAAAATAAATCCAGACGCTTTATTACTGACCTTACTAAAATTTGTTTAAAGAATTGTTTTCTTTAGCTGGGCCCTGTTTCATACAATTTAACATCAATACAAAGGGTCAATATTTATATAAATGAAAATAAAACAACAATGAGCTCACAGTAAATTACATGAAATGATTTCGGTAATTTTTACCATTTTTTTGTTATCAACAACTTTTATTGAACAGGGGCCCAGGTAAAAAATCCATTACACTCATCAAATCTTGTAGTTTATTGGAAGGTCACAAAAATATTAAATTGACAAATGCACAAAACAATAAGCAAAAGGGAAAGAAAGTGAAACTTCTCCAATGAAATAAGAAAGTTATCACTCCATTTAATAGTGTTGAGATCCTTACACACAGAAATTTCATCTTTATGGTGGTATCCTTTGCGATCTATACTTTCCTTAACGTTTGTTAGGACAATGTAAATAAAGCGAGTCCTTACATACTCCGTTACATCTTTATGCTCATTACCTATTTATATTCATATTTAGGATTATCTATATATTTCCAAATATATTTCAAGACGTATGTTTGGGGAATAAATTCTCTTTAAACAAAACGAAATGTTGGACATGAAATACGTGAAAATATTGTACAAAACATAAAGAATGTATCTCACAAAGAAATTAATTTTGCTAGTCTTTGTGGGGATCTTCAAAAATTTGAAAATTCACAACTTCCACAAACCTGTTCAGCTTACTGTCTGTTTTCAATAAAATTGGTGTCAGGATAGCTAGACCGTACCCCTTTACCCCATTTTTGCCCATTCATAGCTCATGAAGTTTATGTGTGTTCCTTCCTATATGACAAACAGTTGAACATTGTGTGGATATATTGTGAGTCATCTTTTGTAGAATTCGTGATGACTAGGGGCTCTACTGGAGATTGGCAGAAGTGGGACAACTAGGAGGAGACTAAGGGGGTGTGAACTCGTACCATGTTTGATTCATTCTAAATCGTTTATTGGTTGGCCCATCTGCAATTCAAAGTAGCTCCATGAAGTTTTAACCACTCATGTAATCTGGCTTACCATAAACTATTTTAATGACTTTTTGTTATCTTCAACAAAAAAATCAAGTTAAATTTTATGAAATGATACGATTTGCCATCTTACATTTGTTTCCAGTAGAAATTTGGTCATTAAACGCCTCCCAAAAACTCTGCGAATAGTTTAGCTATGACGTTGCATTAACAAAATACCGGCGTCGCTTTCAAACAAGTTACGCCTTTCTTCTGTTGTCTTCCGACGTCAAAATCATATTTAGCCCACGGAGAGAATAGAAATCACATGTGTTTCTGATGAAAATGGGACCAAAGCAGACGGGTCAAAAGCCAAATTATTTTTGTGGTTTCCGGTTAGACGTACATAATTGGGTTGTGAATTTGACGAATCGCAGATAGACATTTCGCGATGTCTTTAATAGTGCAATTCCTTTTAATCGTTCACTTTCATGACAAAATGACGAGCGCGTTTTGGGGCATCTTGTTTCCATAGCAACCATTTGGTAAGTACCTAACGCATCGCCCACATAAATGTGAAATTGCCTAGAGATATTGTCAAAGAAATAGTTTCACCCTTTATATGATCTTTTCTCGTATCTGTTTAAAGACCCTATTTAGCTTCTTCAATGCTATTTTCGTTTAGTTTTGTTGTGTTGTTGTTGATGAACTAAAATGAGAACATAGCCTAAAACGTTGCACCAAGCCTCTTTCCTGTTCTTCATTATATAATAGTGGGGAAATGACTGATCGTGATTTCAAATCTAAAGAATTTACCTGTTACTAATGAATGAATTACAATGCTTGGAATCCAGCCTGAATGTATGATATGTTGCTATGCCGGGCAAGCCTTCAAGTTATCAAGAAGAACAACCTTTGATTAAAACGTATGCATAACATTTGAATATGTTAGTACACCGGTCATTCCCACAACAAACATCTCAAACTATTCTTTCCCCATCTATTAGAATGGTAGAGTTACATTTTCGCAGGATGACAATCATATCAACATTTTGGTCCTGCAATTTTAAGAAAATGTATCTTCTCTAAAAAAACTTGAAGAAAAAATGGATGTCCAAAGTAATCTCATGCTGCCACAATGGGTTATTAAAAACATAAGAAAAATAATTGATTACAGCAGTTCATCTAATCAGCTTATCCTAATACGTTAATGATATACCACACCACTGATAATCACGCGGCAAATGTACCCGCAACAGGATATGCAACAAATTAGGTGTTTGCAAACGGCAATGCAATCAAAGTGCCGGAAATTCTCAAGTGAGCACCCTCAAATCAGATTGGCATTGACTATGTCGGTAGAGAATGGTATCATGAATGCATAAATTTGATTAGTGTTCATTTGATCAATGAAATTCCTCGGCAGGGCATGAACTCGTCACTTCAATTCGAGTGCCGATGTATGATGGTACATTGTAGCTCGTTAAAGAAATAGGAAAACTGGATGATATCTTTTAGAGCAGATTTAATATTTTAAAGGGAATTCAAAATCATTATTATTCAATGAGCATAATTTTGAATGGAAAGTTCAATTTTCAGATCTAGAACTAAAAATCAGAGTCATAAATATGATGGTTTGTGTTTATGAAGGAATGAAAACCTGATGAAATCATCACATTATTATGGTTTCTAAATGATTGTTTTTATTGTAAATAAAGTGAATTTTAGAAATGAAGTGAAAATGAGAAACGAATTTTTAAACCCAGCCTAACGTAGGTTCGCTTTCAAGAAAACTGGCCGATGATAACAGATCTTCTAATTCTGTGAATTCAGGGTCTAACCCTCCCTGGTAAACGCGACGGGCCGTGCCCGTTATCACCAGAATAGTCTTCCCTGTTCCCATCCCCATCTAGCCCAGCGTACGCTTTAGTTTGCTGAATAGTCCAGATGCATGGGGTGGTGTAGCGTCCGCTCAGTCAAGGGGGGGGGGGGGGGGGATACTTACTATATTAAAGGTAATACAAAGTTTTGGTATGGGGTCCTGAATTTGGTTCAAATGAACACATTGGAAGCATATACGATCCGACAACATTCAGTAATAGTCGTCGCGGTTGAAATCGAGTCTAAAGTTATGAAATTGAAAATAATAACTCTGTATGTCGTATAGCCCCCTCTCAAGGTCAAGATATCAATTAAGCTATAACAAAACTTTTCTTGACTAAAATCGACCGATAAGCTATTTCCATTTGGAAATTACATATTCTGATATTTTCATGGTCGCAGCTACCATTAAACGGCCTTAGGCGCTATTTGAAATTTATCCAAATTAACCGGGAGCACCGGTAAATTTTTATATTCAATTTTTCTCGAAAGCAGAAGTGTTTTAGGGGCTAAATTTTCTAGTGCTTGTAATACATCCACAGGGACATTCACATATATCAAAATTGTAAAGAATCACTATCAGCCCAGTTTTCGAAACTTCCCAAAACTTTGAAACACCTTTAATAGACGAATAATATAATATTACAGGCATTATATCTTACTAAGATAACTAAGATTTTCTCTTTCTCTGTCATCCACCCCCCTCTCTCTCTCTCTCTCTCTCCCCCCCCCCCCCCCTCTTTTTTTTCTTTGAGAAAAGGGTTCTCTACGAACGTGTTGAAAAATTCTTTCCAAAGATATAGAATAGATAAGGCTTAGAAACTACACATTTGCGGACAACAATTAAGAGATTAATAATGTTCCGCAGAGATCGGGGGTGGGGGGGGGGGGGGTATCTCATCTCATCCTTCCAGAGACACAGTAACCCAAACTGGGTACCCCCATCGTTACCCTCGATTAAAAAAATTACATGTATGATACATGTCAATATAAACCCATATAATACACAAGACCCACAAATCCGCAGCGCGTGCACACATCGTATACTATGTAGGAGGCGCGCGACTTCCGCAGAAATGAGCCAACGCAGACGACAGTAGTTCCCATTAGTTCCTCATTTGTATACATCCTTGGTAAGAGCAGTAAGGTGAGGGTTACAGCGCAACCTAGCTATCAAACATTTGCAAACATTTTAGAGCAGAGAAGTGGGAGGTGCCTCGACCCATCTCGCTTCATTTTCCTTCTCAGTTCGCCACAGCCAGCACGAGTTAGCTTACTACCAGGACAGACAGGGGGCAATTCCTCAGCTAATGACAGCCGCTCCATGAACCCTATAGCGTAAATGTATGGACAATCTGATGCTTTTTGTGCACTCGGTCTCAGCATCCATCATTCCTACAGCGCCCAGGAATCTCGCCATTCCGAAAGCCTCAGACGTGTTTGTTTTTAATTTCCAGCTTTTCTATAAACATGCTAACCTCTTGAAGATTGTCAGCAGGATACCTATTATCTCCTGCAAGTTTTCTTCCTGATATCCCGCATTCGTCCATCGCTGTGTCTTCCGAGCGTGTGCCTAGAAAGAAAATTAATCAGATTGTGGATTATGATGCTGCCATTCTAAGGATGTACGTCAGTTTTCTGTAATAATGTTCGGTATTATTTAGTCAAACTATTTTCAAGTGCATCCGCGATTATCGAGGAATTTTGTTACACATGATATCTTGTTTTGGAACTGGCCCAATACTGCCTACTCCTTTGGATATACATGTACAACACATTATGTAAATCACCATAGTATATTCAGGATAACCACGACTGAGCTGTTGATGGCCTGCTGCAAATGAAAACGGACAAGGAAGCTTTGACACGGGGTAAATAAAATAATTCACTTGTCATTATTCTTTCATAATATTATGTACATGTAGGCATATACAGGAGAATATGTATTTGGGACTTGGAATTCATTATTAACATGAAAGATCACATCGTTTGTGTGGAAATCAACGCTCAACAAAGAGGAATCACCTCTCAAAAGAGTTATTTAATCATCGCTTAGTAGTAGATTTAACTGAGCTCTAATGAAAATCGCGCCGGCCGAAAAGTCGCTCAGTGGGGGGGGGGGGGGGGGGGGGGGGGGGGGGGGGGGGGGGGGGGGGGGGGGGTACAGAGCACATTTTTTTTTTGATCCTCAAAAAAATTTCAATTTGCACCCCCCCCCCCCTTGAGCGCCAGGGGGGGGGGGGGGCCCAACCCCCAAAAAGGTAAAAATCACGTGATTTTACATGATTTTTTTTCTCAAGGGGGGGGGGGGGGGGCCGGGCCGGATCCGCCACTGATATAACCATCATGTTGGCAAACGGAAAATCGAGGAAAAGATGGGGAAGAAGATGTTTAGTCGCTGCCACGACACCTACCCATTATATTTATCATAACTTATTAATGAGGACTATTATTCAATAATCTATATGTACTTTGATGATTTAACTTTAATACATGGACCACCGATTCTACTGATTGGTCTGGTGTCGACCTGGTATCGTGTGTCTCATAATGTGTAATGGAAGCTTGTTATTTCATACAAATCCATTGTCACATAGACATTCCACAGGGCAAACATAATTTTAGTGAAAAGACATGCCCGTTGACTGGACACCAACGCTTTTCAGTAGTTTTCGATTGCTACTGCCCACGGCCGGTACCGATAGCGCATGCGAATGGCAATGTCGGTCTCGATGACCGTCTTAAAGTTATCCCAATTTTCTCAAGACCGGCGGGTCTCGAGAATGATATGTCGCTCTCATGAGTCTCAGGCAATATTTCTCGGGGTTCACTCTTTTTGGTACATTCAATTCAGGTTTAGGCCTACTAACTATTCAGAAAGAATCTCCTACCATGACTGGTTATATTTTTAAAGTATAAACAAGTTTTTAAGCTGCTATCCTGTTCTTGAACTAGATAGTTGCTATTTTTAGTTTCAAGTTTGATCCGGCTGTTTTAACTTTATCCACGGCAGTTCACTTCTTATTCTAATTTCCTCTATCCGCATGCCCTCCCCCTTCCTGGGCCCCTTCCTTAAGCCACCCACTCTCTTTCTCTCTCTCTCGTTATATATATATTGATAATAATATCATGTGTATCTCTCTATCCCTTTCCTTTCTTCCGAGATCATACTGTTTCATAACACAGCTGTAATCCATTCTGATAGTAATACGAATGATTGCCAAAATGAAAAACAAATAGTGCATAATTATAGAGAAGATTGAGCGGAGGGACATTTCACAATGAACATGTTATTCAAATACCGTATATCCACGTCATGTACATGATGTAACATTCACAAACCTTCTGGCCCGAATTCACAAAGGAGGTTTGTCGACAAACCGAGGTTTATGTGCGTCATACGACGCGTTTCGACGCGTTTTTACAAACCTTAACTTAAAAGGAGGTTTGTCGAAACAAAAGGAGGTTTGTCGACAAACCTCCTTTGTGAATTCGGGCCTATATGTATGTGGTAAATCACACATGTTTGAAATCACAGGCTTATTTGAATGTGACCCATTTCAAACATGCGACCGTCATGACTTTAAGTTTAACTATATAGGGAGACAGAGGGGGTGTAAAATTATAGGAGAGGGGAGAAAGTAGGGGAATGAGAGAGAAAAAGAGAGATGATAAAGAGAGAGGGAAATGTAGAAGAAAGGAAGATATAAGAGACCAAGAGAAAGGAAATAGTGGATGGGAGAGAGAGAGAGAGAGAGAGAGAGAGAGAGAGAGATAGACAAAAAGCCAAAGGGCATAAATAGACAATGTGAATGCAGATAAGAAAGAGGGTGAGAAATGAAAATAAAGTTTTATGGATGACGGGGAGACAGAGACGATGAGAAAGTAAAGTGAATTCAAAATATTAAGTTATTAGGAGGTCTTTAAAATCTTGCCCCCTGTTACTCCCCAAACATGAATCACATCTCGTTGTTAAACTAAATTTAGTTTATTTAGAACAAATAGAGATCCACACGCTATCGTATCAGCCCGTTATAGGCCAAACACTTGCTCTGTTTGGCACGGAACTAAGCAAAGACATGTTTCAACTCAAGTACACATCGGAAAATCGCTTATTAATAACCATTATTAGGGGGAGGAAGCATTGCGTGCGACTGAAACAAAAGCCAACGTTGTCTCTTGAGAAAATCCTGCTTTTAGTACTTAAGTTCGTATCTACTTTTGAATTCACTTGAGAATTACGATTACCCAGCTTTTAGTGGTATAAGGCTTAGTGGTATTTATGTCAACAAATCGGTTTTCTTAGTTCATTCTCTTTAACTCGTTAAACAAATTCGGCCCAAAATTTAAGAATCATTTTAATTAGTTTACATAATTGATTAAAGAGGGTTTAAGATGGTTTTGAATGCATCCCCATTTTTAAATATAATTTTATCATGTACAACAAAATTACCCTACTCTCGATAATGTAAATCAATGAATGAAATTTATCCGAGTGTTGTGTATAGCTCATGCTCCTCAACTGCCCCCACTGGCAATTTAAAAACCTTCATTTTTGTTTTGTTATGTTTGTCTATTTGTCAGGCACTTTCAGTAAAACGGTATTACAGTTATAGCTCTAAAAATTATAGGCTATCTTTTCCCATCTATTGTGCTTCTTAAATTTTTGATTATCAACCTCCTCCCCCCCCCCCCCACCCCAACCCCTTCATGCAAAGAATCATCAATGCACCTTATGGGTTTTTTTTTTCATCGAGGTTAAATCCGTAGTTGTGAAGATATATTGTTTTTAAACAAAGTGCATTTAACTCGTTGCCTCAGTGATGTTGATGAATGCCAACAGGGGCTGAAATTGGAAGCTTGTTGATTAAAGCTAAATCCATTTTCATCTTGAAGACTTGATCTTCACAATCAGCTGTCTAGGCACCTGTGAGCAAAGAATAGTAACAACGATGATGACGTACATCATCATGTTAGTCTTGCTTCCAGACGTAATGCCTAGGAGGTGATGGGACACAAAATCGTTTTTTTTTTTTTTTTAAGTAAGAACAAATCGTTATTATCATTTTCATTTCGATCCTATTCGATTCCCGCCTTTAGACTGGCAAACTAAAGAGCCATTATGTTGCCTTCACTGTAAAAAAAAAGTTGGGCAGATGTAATTGGGTAAATCGACGTTGGGCAAATTTTGTCCGATAATAAAATTGGATTATTTTCTCCCAACCGTTTACTATATGAAGTTACCCAATGAAAGGTAAAACAATTACGTTGGGTAATGTCATTGGGCAAATTAGAGTTGGGCCATTTTTTGTCCAACCAACATTTGGGTTATTTTCTCCCAACCATTTACTACATGTATTCACCCAATTAAATGTTCAAGTTAAGTTGGGCAGATGTAACTGGGCAAACGTAAGTCGGGCAAGTCGTCACCGGACTGTCGATCACAAGGTCCGCGGTTCGAGTCCCGCTGCCGCACTAATGTCCTTTGGCAAGACATTGATCTACATTTGCCACTCTCCACCCAGGTGAAGTAAATGGGTACCTGGTAGGAATTTATTCCTTGAAATGCTAGAGCGCCGTATGGCAGCAGTGCTAAAGCCAGGGTAATAATCGGGAGCGCCAGGAGGGTCAAATCTGAGTGACATGAGCGCTATACAAGAACCCACTATTATTATTATTATTATTATTATTATTCAACAATAATGTTTTATTCTTTATTAGAGATGTCGTGGTCGAGTGGATTATATCACAGGACTATGGATTACGAGGTCCGCTGTTCGAGTCCCGCCGCGGCACTAATTAATCTCCTTTGGCATGAAATATTTTATCCAACTTATTTGACGAACTTGTGTGTAACTTATGCTACACATTATAGTGAGAATTAGGTGAATTTCTGATTGGGTACATTTTTGTTGGTTTAAAGTTGGGTATTTTCTTTTTATCCAACACTGGGTAAATGATGCAAAATCTTTAATTTACAGTTGGTTGGACACATAATCGCCCTCATGTTGGGTAACAATTGGGCAATGTTTTGCCCAATATTTCGAGTGTTTGGTGTGTTCTTTTAATGTTTTAAATTTAATCATAGATGCATGTAGTTTTACTAAAGTGAAATATCATATCTCATACTCATAGAATACTATTCCCGTAGTCGTGAAAAGGAACACTCAACAATTTTCCACAGAAAATATGGAGGAAGGGGCGAAAGGACAAAAGAGAATTTTCCTCCACTAAAAACGAAGAAATAAGGTATTTAGTCAATTTCATGGCTTTGGTAAAAACCGTCTTCACTTTTTTCTGGTTTCAAGTTGATTACTGAAAACATGTTTTCTTCAATTAGCTCAAACTAAAAGTCGGAAACATTTTTTTGGCGGGCATCGAGGATAAGCTTTATCTTACATCATGCCCATTCGTGTAAAGTTTATTCATTTCTTCGTGAAAATTCCTTTCCGAGCCAAAAAATAAACTGAAGTCTTTTGGGTGCTTGGGGGAACTACAGCCCCCCCCCCTGAATCCTATTAAGTCATACAATAAGGTAGTAATGACTTTTTATGATCTAAACAAAAATAAGACTGGAAAAGGGTACAGTGCCTGGCATTATATTGTAATAATCTGCCCTTAGTGCTCATATTCATCACTGTGTACCATTCTCTCTTGATACCATATGTAATGGAGGTATGACTCATGAAAATCTTAGAAACAAAGGTATTTAAATGTCCATCGTCTTAGGTCAATTGTTTCCGTTCACATTTGAACTGCGATGTAAATAGACGAGCTCACAAATCGCCTTTTTCCTACATGTATATTGCTTGATTACCACAGGATCTCAACGAGTTCATTCATTTCTGCAATGCTTGGGAACACAAGTATA